ATTGTTAGATGAAAATCACTGATCAAGCTTTGGAACAATACATGATGTGAAAACTTGTGGGAAAAAAAAAAAATCGTTGATAGGATGGCTGATGGTATAAAGCTAGAATTTTTGTAGCTTTCATGCGAAAAAATGAAACTCAAATTTAATCCTTTTGAAACTGTTTATACCCGGTTGAAATGACATATTCAATCACTACTTAGATATTTATGGGATTTATGAATACACTTGGAGCTTTTGAAGTTTTTCTTCTTGCTTGAATATTGACATCTTTATATCAACGAATTTCAAATTTTATCGATGTTCTGTTATTCAAAAAAACAACAAACATGTTATATCAGAGCTGCAAAAGCTATTTTTCGGTGAGCATTGAGCAACCTTGAAAGATTTATACTTTGCGTAATTGTGTTTGTTGCGATCTTTGTTCGAAAAATCGGTAGGCGTTAGTCGGACGTTCGATATACGTCTAGCGATTAATCGGAAATGAAGGCTATGCTTATTGGGCCTAGCGACTAACAACAGATATGCTTATTGGGCCGATAATGGGCCGAGCCTTAAATATAATTTCAGATAAAAGCAACGAGATGTGATAGATCATGAGACCACCAACCAAAAGATTTGACAGATAACAGAAAAATGTTGAACTTATTATGAAAGCAAAAAGCTTCTTCTTCTCCTCCTTACCAAAAACTCGACGGTCTATCGGAAAAAATGGCTGCCAATTTCTGGAATTCATCTCACTAGTAAACGTTCTTTTCACCTTAACCCATCAAAATTCACTTCTTCTTCTCCTTCAACTCAACTTCTAATTTCAATTTCTCGAAATTTTTTGTTTGGTTTTTGCGTTTGTACGAAGCAGTAAACAGCTTTTGGATCCAGAAGAAGTCGATGTAGTTCATGAACTTGATAAAGAACGTGGAATTTCAATTGAGGATTTTAAGCTCATCAAGTTCCATATGTCTAATCGTACAAAATCTTTTTCTTCTCAATTCTTCGAATTTTTTCTACTTAATTTAGCAAATTTTGTCTCTACTTTGAAAATATTTTAAAGATTGATCAAAGAAAGTGTTTGTTTTGCTGTTGAGTTTAAGTCTCTTTGTATTTTTGCCTTTATTGTTGTTTCAGATATTATGAAATTGGCTCAACACATTAAAGTGAGGCAAAGGTTGGTTTTTTGCACTTTGGGGATCCAATTTTTGCTATATCAGAGATTCTACTTTTGCAGTTGTTCCATTATTTTGTTTTGCTTCTGTGGAAATAATTAGCTCTATATCTGTTGTTACCTAGAATTTAATATGAATCATTGCCTTGTTTTCAATACTTATGTAGGGTTGTGGCTACCGCAATTACGTATATGAGACGGGTTTATATCAGGTATGCAATGTAATTTTGATATGATCTTATACATCAAAGTGCATCTTTGTGTATGTGAGGAATGAAATGAGTTAAATTCTTGTCATGCCAATGTCTCTATATGTTGCATCTCTGCTAACAAAAACCATAACTGCGTCTAATATCTTCCTTTTGATATTATACTGTCTCAGAAAGAGTATGGTAGAGTTTGAGCCTCGTCTTGTTGCTCTTACGTGCTTGTACCTGGCATCTAAAGCTGAAGAAAGCATTGTGCAGGCCAGGAATCTTGTTTTTTACATCAAAAGATTGTGTAATATCTTCTTCTACTGTGTTTTGATTTTTCAATGTGCTAAATCATAAGAGAACCTTCCCTTCAATATGCGTTTTTTGACTTATCGACAACGGTTCTTATTTCTTTGCAGATCCTGATGAGTACAACAAATATGAACTAAAAGATATATTAGGAATGGAGATGAAGGTCTTAGAAGCACTAGACTATTATCTGGTTGTGTTTCACCCTTACCGGTCATTATCTGAGTATGTCCACTCATCTCTCTTATCCGCTTTTCAGAAGTGTTTGCCTTATTGTCTGCGGTTGCAAACAGAGGAGATGATTAGAAGTGTAAATGATGATACATGTAAAACCTTGCAGTCTTCCCATTCAATGCTCTTGATGTTTTTCATTATATCCTGTAAAATTTTAGACCAATTTTATATTCCTTGGTGAGAGTTTTGTGTGCCTTGATCCTTGTAGTCAGAAAATCAACTCTCATTTCAAGACTTCCTTCTTTTGTTTTCTCAGGTTTTTGCAAGATGCTGCAATAAACGATGTAAATATGAACCAAATTACATGGTAAAGTCTTTCTACATGTGAAACTTTGCTCAGAACTCATTTCCTAGTTCCAACACTAAGATCTAAATTCTCTGACCTTTGTAAAAAGCATAGGAAAACCGAGTTTTGTTTTCGTGTTTCAGGGGAATTGTTAACGATACTTATAAGATGGACCTCATTCTTGTACACCCTCCGTATCGCATAGCGCTAGCATGCATATACATAGCAAGTGTCCACAGAGAGAAAGACATCACTGCCTGGTTTGAAGATCTTCATGAGGACATGAACTTGGTCAGTCATTCTTCTAAAAGTTAAGCAAAAAGCTATGACCTTTCGGTATTCTTAGTGACGGTGAAAGCTCTACATGGGTCAATGGTTTGCAGGTAAAGAACATTGCCATGGAGATTCTGGATTTCTATGAGAATTACAGAACAATCACAGAGGAAAAAGTGAATTCTGCCTTCAGCAAATTGGCTTTGAAACCGTAGCAGCCGAGGGAATCGCTTCCATCTCCAAGATTTATCTCACAGAAAAAACAAGATTAGAGACTTTCACAATTGCCCATCTTAGCTTTGTGGCAAACATGTAACACTGTTGTTAATTCTACCAAACCAATTAATCTTAAAGTAAACACAAATACACTATTGTTATTTGATCATCAAAATGGGTTTTGTTTCCCCTAATCTAAACCTAAACCTCTCCTAGAAGCAAAAATGTGAAAAAACAAAGGTCATATTGATGAAGATGACAAAAGATGAAAAAAGTTTATAAAATTGACTTATTTACTTTCATATAAGACTTTTAAAAACTGTTTTTAGTAAATAATAATGAATTAAAAAAGTTTACTTTTTTATTTTATTTATCCTTGGTGGTCTTCTTATGCTTTACATTATCCACACCATAAAAATAAAAATCTTGTATTTTTGAAGTTGAAGGATCAAAGAAAGAAGCTATGGCTTCCAATTTCTGGACTTCGACGCACTAGTAAGCTTCAATCAACGATTAAAGATCGTCTTTTTATATGCAATTTCTATGTTCCTGATTGATTTCGTTTTCTGGGTTTTATTCTCACAGCAAAGAGCTTAAGGACCCAGAAGAGGTTAATGTTGTTCATCCTCTTGATGCTCAGAGAGGAATCTCTGTTGAAGATTTCAGACTCATTAAGCTTCATATGTCTAATTGTATGTTTTCATTGGATTTGATTACCTTGTTAATTTCCAGATTGGATTTAATATCTCTAATGTCATGAATCATGTCCTTATCTTGAGGTTTTGATTGGATTTAAGCTTGTTTTCCTTGTTGTTCGTGTTTCAGATATATCGAAACTGGCACAAAACATTAAGATTAGGCAAAGGTGAAGTCTTTCGTTGTTAGTTCTTAAAAGAGATATGAAATGTGTAACGACCCTTTGAACAATGCTGACTGATTTAGCACTTCTATTATTCAGAGTTATTGCAACTGCAGTAACGTATATGCGTCGCGTTTACACAAGGTATGGCTTGTTCTAGCTTCTGATTGTTTGATCATCGTTGTGTAGCTTGAGGCTCGGTCATTTGACTTATGGGTAGTGTTGTGTGTTTTGACAGAAAGAGTTTGTCGGAATACGAGCCTCGGCTTGTTGCTCCCACCTGCTTGTATTTGGCTTGCAAAGCAGAAGAGAGTGTGGTGCATGCCAAACTTCTTGTCTTCTACATGAAAAAACTTTGTAAATTCTTTTTTTGTTTTCTGCTTCAAAACTTTCTTGAGTTTTTTTGTCTGAGTTTCTGATGAGATTGCATCCTTCACTCTCGGTAGATGCTGATGAAAAGTTTAGATATGAGATCAAAGATATTCTGGAAATGGAGATGAAGGTCTTGGAAGCTTTGAACTTCTATCTTGTTGTATTCCACCCATACCGATCTCTTCCTGAGTAAGCCATCTGCTTAAGATCTTATGTGTTGATATCAAAATCCTTTAGCATTTATTCTATGCATTTTGTTTTATTACTATTCTTGCTTTACTTGCAGGTTCTTGCAGGATTCTGGAATCAATGACACAAGTATGACCCATTTAACTTGGTAAGTATCCAAAATTTGTCTTTTATTAATCTTGGGGATGAAGTGTTGTTGTAATCAAGAAGGCAATTGTATAACAATTACCATCACCTGACAAATCTTTAATTGGAATAGAGCTAAACAGGTTTTGATATGCAAGCAAAAAAGTAAATGCTCTCTTGATGCTTTAAGTTTTGTTTGGAAACGATAGGGGTCTTGTCAACGACACATACAGAATGGATCTCATCCTTATACATCCGCCGTTTCTCATCACACTTGCTTGCATTTACATTGCTTCTGTACACAAAGAGAAAGACATAAGGACTTGGTTTGAAGAGCTTTCTGTCGACATGAACATTGTAAGTCTATGCACTGTTATCCACCTTTTAATTCTCTGAGGAATTATTGCCTTATTGGTCTTGTTTAATGATTCATCGGTATGTTGTGAACATATTGGTAGGTGAAGAATATTGCAATGGAGATATTGGATTTCTATGAAAACCATAGACTGTTCACGGAGGAGAGAGTTCACGCCGCCTTCAACAAACTTGCTACAAACCCGTAAAGTCCAAGGAATCTTGTCTGTGTATTATGTTCCCCTGAGAAAATATAATGTTTTGCCAGAAGTTTTGGAAATGAGATTATTCTGTTTATTGTACATCAGTTTTGTTCGTCGTGGTTCAACCATGTCTTGCCTATGCGTAGACACAGTAAAAGAGGTGCAAAGCTAACAAAACTTAAGCCTAAATGTTAAATAAAAGCAATTGTGTTAAATCACAAACGAGAAAACAAAACACAATTCTTATTAACATAAAATATCCAGTTTTTACTTTTTACAGTAAAACCAAGGTTCGTTTCTCCATTTTGTGAAAGAGTTCTCAAGCATGTTCCATACATCCACATCGAAAACAAACATCAATAAAAGCATTATTTTCTCTAATATAGTTCTGAGCCACAACATAACGATGCTCCAAGACTGGCAACGTAATCCGTAGTACTTCAGAATCTGTATTCTTCATAAGCAATTCCAGAGATTCTTCGCGAAAACCTGTTGATCAGCAGATGAATCTTTCAAAGCTAGCTTCTTTTTCTTTCCTGCATCTATTTCAGAGATGATAGATGTTAGACAATGTATAATAGTGGAGACTGTCCAAATGACTTTCACACGAATCCAAATAGGATGCAAAACCAACAAATGAACAAAGTGAACATTATACCATTTTTATTTTTACCTGCTACTGGTTATTCCTTATTCATCGTCACAGTTGATAAATTGAACATCGGGAATGTGTTGGACTTTGTAGTAATCTTCTCCACCTGGTATCAATTTCTCATTCCACTCCCTCTTCATTCCTCTAATCTTCAGTTCCTTTAAGGATGTCATGTACTTGAGTCCATCAGGAAGTTCCTTCAACTTTTTGCAATCAAGTATATTTAAAGTACGAAGACATGGCATCGACCCTTCTTCCACTATCCACTCTTCCAACTCTAATTCTTCATATATTTCTAGAGCACGTAATTGAGGAAATCCACCTTTTGAGCACAACATTTTCCTCCCAACGAAAGCGTCAGATCCTAATTTAACCGACTTCAAATGAAGCAACTTTTCTAGAATCGGCATTGGATCCTCCTCAATGCGGCAAAGAAATAGAGATATGTGTTCAAGGTGGGGAGGGAATTGATGTTGATCAGGAATCTTTGACATACGTACTGCCAATCCTAACTCTTTTAGATGAACAAAATCCAGATCGAACTTTCCCACATAATCAACCATAATGGTTTTGCTCGTAGAAAAGAAATGAAGCGTCTCGAGGTTTCGCAATTCACGGAGAGATGACGATAGGGTTTTAAAAGTACACCTTTCGCTCAAAGATACAGAGAGAGACCTGAGCTTGGTCATACGGAGGAGGTCTGTCACACTACTGTGTTGCGTTGAGAAAAACCACAAGTGCTCTAGGTTCACTAGATCACCCAATTCCAACTTGGTTTTATCATGCATCTTATGAGGTAGGACAAGGTTCCTCAACTCTAGCATCTCTTTCAAAACATTTGGCACATGAACTGGTTCCCCAATAGCAACACTTAAGTCTAAATAGAGGAGAAGCTTTAAATTCCGCATAGAAGAAGGTAGATGAGATACCCCAGCATCGTATAAGCTCAAGAATCTCAAGTGGATGAGCCCTCCAATACTAGAAGGTAACTTCCCTCCTTTAAATTTCACCTCAGAAAGATCCAACACCCTGAGAAATGGTAAATTTTGGAAGACTGAAGCTGACTGTATCCAAAAGTCTTCCTCGAGTCCCAAAACTATAAGAGATCTGACTTTTTTATTGTTTTTGTGTCCCAGTATATGAAAGGCTTTACCACTACGTATGGTGAGTCTGCGAGATCTACTAGGAGATTGAGCATTGATGCTAGAGGTGGAAGTAGGGACTTTGATAATTTGTAGGAAGTTCTCTTCTTTGGCTTTTGATAAACATACTTCTCTCATCATGTCATGCATTTGACAATATTCAAATCTCCAACTCAAATTGTTTTTTTCAGCAATAACCAAATTTCTCCTCACTAGCTCTTGTAGGTAGTCTTCTCCACTATGTCTGATGGTTGATCCATAACAAATTCCTTCTGCAGCCCAGTAATTGAACAAATTCCACATATATATCTTGTAATCTTCGGGGTAATGGGCTAGATAAAGGAAGCAATGCTTTAAATGCGTTGGCAAATCTTCATAACTCAGAGACAATATTCGGTTAACCGAATTGAGACTGTTGTCATCTAAGCACAATTTTCCTACGATTTGATCTCCGATATTGTCAGAAACTCTTTTCCACTCATGAACTGTATGTTTATTAACTAACAAGCCTCCCAACACTTTAACAGCTAATGGTAGTCCTCCACAATGTTTGACCATTTCCTTTCCCATGGCTTCCATTTCTTCACCAAGCCTTACTTCTGCACAATATCACAAGCTAATACATTTCAAGATGTGAGCTGCTAAATAAAATTTATTAGATTATTGGACTAATTTTACATTTGAACTAGATTAATTAGGACCCTTAATCAATACATTTTTTTTTTACAAATTTAGTTGATTTTAAATTGTTAAATTTTAATTGAACCAACCATGAATCTTATTATATAAAGTATGGTTTTCAAAGTTAATAACTCAAGAGATCGTGACACGTATGAACTTTTTCGATCTGAGATTTTATAATGTTAAATTTTAATTGAACCAACCATGAATCTTATTATCTAAAGTATGGTTTTCAAAGTTAATAACTCAAGAGATCGTGACACGTATGAACTTTTTCGATCTGAGATTTTGACATGTGTCAAATAAAATTTTCCTTTTAAAAAAAAAGTAAAAAGCTAATTATAAGGAAATTGTACATATATTTTCATAAGAGTTTTTTCCATCTAGCAAACAAAAATTTTGTTTTTAAAAAATAATTATAAAAAATGATAAATTTAAACAGTTTTAAACATATAAAAAGATTATAATAAGAAACCTATACATATATATAAAGAAATTATATGTATATATCCATAAAAATCGAAATTATAAAATTATGCTAAACGTTTTATTTATAAGTTACTAACTTAACAAGAAAAAGATTTAAAATTAGAAAAAAATTAAGAAAATTATACAATCAGTTATTAATCCTATAAGAAAAAGATAGTAAATAGTCACATTTATATAAACAAATAGATTATCTCATATTTTCTCATCAAGCAAACTAATTTCTTAACGATGTTATATAATATCAATTATAAAAAAATACTTTCAATCACGATGTTTTTCTAAAAATAGCATGTGATATTCAGATCTAATGAATATATGACAATTAAGGCAAATTAATAATTATGAACGACGATAGACATAGACTAGAGTTATTGTCGGAGAGGTTTGGTCTAATGTCGGAGGAGATAAAGAAGGTGGAGTAATAAGAGAAGTTGGGGAAAGAGGATAAGAGGCGATAACGGTGGTGTTGGTGTTGATGGTGGTGGTGGTGGTGGCGGTAAATATTGATAAAAGTGGTGAGTCAGAATTAGCAAGATTCGGTATTGATGGTGGTGGTGATTGTGATAGTAGTGAGATTCAGTTGTGGTAGTGGGTCAGAGTAGTGAGACTCGATAGTGATGTCCGACGAATACGAGAAATGGAGATAGAGAATAAATAAATAAATAAAACTATTGTGGTGAAGAAATCCGATGAGAGGGAGAGAAAGATAAAGAAAGAGGAGTTCGACCAAAAATAAGAAAAATCTAATGAAAGATATATAGATTTTTGAGAATTAGAAAGAAGAAAAAACAAAGAAATTGGTAATATGGGCCTAAAATGATAAAAGTCATGTTGCAAATAGATAATGTTTAGCCTGATGTTGTTTTTTTTTTTTTTTTTTAGTCTTAAATTATTTAGTGTGTATTTTGTAATTCCTTATAAGATTGTTTTTTTTTCTGTTGAGGATATTTCATATTTATAAAGTAAATTTATATGACATGGATATAGACGGTTTCATATATATATATATATATATATATATATATATATATATATATATATATATATATATATATTTTTTTTATTGTCACAATTTTATTATGACGTCAAATGTTTTTTTTAAAAAAATCTATATTTACGTAACTCAGACTATATGTTTACGTAACTATATGTTTATGTAACACACTCTTCTGATGGATATAAATAACTTATTAAATTCAATAATACAACATATGAACATTTATGACTTTATAACTTATAATAAGCAAAAAATTATATAATTTTATAAATAGGCCAATATTTATATTATATGATTTAATAAATAGTATAACATAACTATAAAGAATGTTTTATATTGCAAATTATGCTAATAAATCTATATTTAGAAATAATTATGCTGCATTTTTTAAAATATATATGTTTATAGAATTTTAGTTAAGCTTACAAAACTAAAATAAAAATATTAAGAATGATAATCTCGACTGGTAACCCGTGCAACGCACGGGTCCATATCTAGTTAATCATAAAGAGTAGATATTCGATTTTTCTAAAAAATCGAAAGAAAAAAAAAAAAATTAAGATTAGTAATTACTTTTTTTGATACATGTCAAAATACGTAAATACGTTTTTTAGTTAGTTTTTCTCATTCGTTAAGGGAAAAAAAGTTGAAATTTGTTTGAAAAATTACCAATATGTATATATATATATATATATATATATATATATATATATTTTTTTTTTAATTTTGCTTTTTGGTTAAGGAAAAGAAAAGTTTAAGGAATAGTTTAAATATACACATGATAATTAGTATGTGCAAATATGTTTTTCTTAAAATTTGTTTATCTTATTTAGTTAAGGGAAATAAAGTTAGTGAAACTAAACATTATATAATAAGATATGTACCAGTTTCATCTCTCCTAGCGAATACTATTCTCTCAAAGAGCTTCCAACTTTCATCAGGATTCAGGATTTTTGCTTTAAAAGTAAAACATGTTGGATCAGCATGTATCCCAACACCTTCATTCCGAGAAGTAAGCAGCATCTTCCAACCTGGAATATATTTGTGTTCTCATGTTAAGGAATAAAAATGCATTTATTCTATATATTTCTTTTAACAATCACTTATATGAACTAAAAAGACTAAGTGCTTCATATATGTACCATAAGAGCTCACCTCTTTGCTGCGGAAACACTGCTTTTATTCGATCCCAGTCTTCTTTTTTCCATACATCGTCGAGGACAACCAAATATCTACCGGTTTCCAACAACTGAAAGAGTTTACGCTGAAGTGCATATTCGTCCATCTGCAAAATTTCACCATCGTGTGGCTGAAGTTCTTGCAAGATCCTCTGCCAAACATCTTTCTGCGTAAACTGTTGCGAAACACAGACCCATGCGAATCCATCAAAATGACGTCGGACAATGTCATGATGAAAAACTTGTCTGGCCAAAGTCGTTTTACCAATACCGCCCATCCCAGATATAGAAACCACTTGATGTTTATCATTCTCCACCAAATGACCAACCAATTCTTCAACACTCTGCTCCACCCCAACAAGATCGTGTTCAGGACTCTTAGCGTAGGTTTGTCGGATCTCCCTCTGCTCCCTTTGTCTGTCCTGAAGAGACATCGAACGACCACCATCAATGACCTGTTGTATCCCTAAACTCTGCATATCCCCAATCACCTCAGAGATCCTCTTAGTGATTCCTTCGATATCTGAAGCAACTTTGCGGCGATCCGTTAAGAAGCAAGCAAGTCTTCTCACATGCTTCTTGATCCCTTTTTCTTTTCCTCTACTTTTGTTCAGAACATAGGATTCAAGTATATCCTCAGCATCATAAACAAGGTCTGTGACATCTTCCAAGAAGTTTCTCACCCTTTCACTTCCATGTTTCTTGGCATCTGCATCTTTCAACAACGACTGTAACCTTCCCAGCTGACGCTTTAGTCCATCAACTTGCTCATCAATACCCTGCAATCGCTCAGATTCTCGACTCAGGAGATCCCAAAGCTTCTCAACTCCAAACGACACAAATGCTTCAGCCATAACAACTACTCGTCGTCAATCACATACGATGAACCAATACAAGAACGCCAAAGGAAAAATAGATCTAAAATCAGCTAAAAGTTTAATCCAAGTCAACTATGTAGCTACCAATCTATTGACGGAGGGGTTCTCAACAATAATATATATTATGAATTTATAATCTATTGCCACCTCTAATTATTCGTTTTGATTAATCAAAGATATTTGATAGGGCAGAGTATTAAATTAGATGCTTGAACTATTATCACAACCACCGTTGACTCCAGCTCATTCACACTGATATATGCTTGAACTCTGCAAACATGTCACATATACAGCTTGTTAACTTCAGAGGCTAAATTTTCAAGAGGGGCATACAAAACCTTGCACCATTGAAACTATTAGAGAATTGTAATCAGAAGACATAGCCTGAAACCTAGTGTTTGTAAATAAAATGTAACTTGAACTGTGAATGTAACCAATTTTTCATCAGGATTCCACGAGCATATACATACACTGTAACAAATTTATCATTTGAGAGTAAACACAACACGTCATATATTTAGCTTGTTAACTTCGAAGAATAAATTTTCAAGAGGGGCACCAAAAACCTTGTACAAAAATGTAGCTTGACCTGAATGTAACCAAATTCTCATCAAGATTCCCCGAGCATATAATAGACACCGTAACAAATTTATCATTCGAAAATGGAGAGTAAAAACATTCAGACACCTTACTCATTCTTAGCCTACTAATAATGCTTAAGCATCCAAAGGGATTATAGGTTACCGTTTCAGCGGGAAGAGAGAGCCTTTGAGAGAGGAAAGGGCAACATGCTTATCAAAAGACGTCACAGTGTATCCTTGATTCAACAGCTTTAGATTCTTTGTGATTTCTGTTCTTTGGGGATCATGATGAAAAAGCACTAAACCCTTATATCTAACACACTTCAGGTGAAAGTAAATTTCCCTAAAGTCTCTCTTAAGCATTTCATTGAACACCTTCACTGCATTGATCATTAGAGTAACTAATACCAAAATTGTTCTCTACCAATCTATACTATTAATTGGGAATCATTCTAATTTAAATAACCTTATAAAGTATAAAAAATTACAATGAATGCCATTAGAATTTTTTCAATCTAAGACTAAAATTTAAAACACGTGGAAGGCTAAAATAATAATTTGGTAGAGAAAGATCCATGGATCATGGGCTATTGGATCGGTTATTTTTAGAGCCTGATGGGCTAGCTTTCGGATAAACATGCGGATCGTAACACTTGACCCGGCCATTCCTAAAAGTGATCCTCACGGTTGATTTTCCTCAAACTGATCCTCACGGTTGATTTGGATTGAGCGTCACGATTTGTATTGATCCTCACAGTTGCCATTTGATAATCTAAACATAATTACAATAACAAATAAGTCAAGATAATACCTAAACAATCATATCTCTTTAATTTCGAATTCAAATCAATGTCATAACAAATTTAAGTCATCTATAGTTACCAAAAAATCTAAACTAAATCAAAAAAAATATATTCAAAACATCTTCAATCAAGAATATACCTAAAATATCTATTCAAATGATTGATTTGCAAAGATATTATTCCTATCTAATAGGACTAACCCTAGACGTTCTATCTCTTATATATATAGATCTTCAACGATATTCTCAATACTCAATAAGCTACCAAACCACCTCTATACCTCTAAAACAATGGCTCATCTCATCACCGAACTTAACGCAATTAAATCTTTCAAAACTCAATGGAAGATTCAAGTGAAAATCGTCCATTCGTGGACTCAATACATCCAATACTCCGGAGAAACTGTCGAGATGATTCTTGCTGATACATGTGTAAGAATCTTTTTACTAATAGTAGATATTTTCTTCTGTAATTATTATGTGTTCATACTCTTTCTTTGCTAAATACAAGGTACCTTGATTCATGCGACTGTCAAGAAACAACAAGTCAACAAGTTTCAAAGGCTCATCACAACTGGAGAGTGGAGAACTGTGGAAAATTTTACAGTTGCAAAATCTATTGGAAAGTACCGGGCAACCAGACTTCCATTCAAGATGTCCCTCATGAATACGACTGTTATAAGTCGTATTCCTTCAATTTCTGAGGAGTTTTACTTTGATTTTGCTAACTTTCCAGACATTCTGAATGTTAATTGAATGAAAACATTTTGATTGGTATTTTCCATTCCTCCTATTTATGTATATAATGTTTAAAGCAAAAAAAATAGCAAACTAACACCATTTCATATTTTTACAGATGCTATTGGTCAGGTCGTGAGTTTAGGTGAGATGACAAACTCACGATGTCATCAACAAAGCTACCAAAAGATTTGAGTTTGAACTTACTACTTCTATTAACAAACAAATACAGAATAAACCACCAACAACATAACAAGCAACCAAATTACTATGTACAAATTTGATATATTTAATTTATAAGTATTTAATCTAATTTGAAAATCAATAGAGTAGGTCTATATTGTTATCACCTAATCAAAAATGTTATGTTTAATATCTTACTAACCTTTTAAATTTAGATCTCTGAAAACCTCCAAATACAACACCAAATCTCTTTTCTCCTTCAGATTCCAAGTCGCAAAAGATTCTTGGTCTGCAGATTTTTAACAGTTATCGATTTTACATTAGTACAAACATATAAATCATTGTAAAGACTAAGAAACATTGCCATTTTTAAAAGGATTGTACCAAATTAGCTTTCAAGAATGCTTCAAATTGAACTGTTACTGTTCTGCTCCATAAGAATTAGAGGTGCAAAATGATACTTGGCCTGCAGACATATTGAGCTTTGTATCATGAATATAAGATTGATCTAAAGAATAATGAAGCAGGAGCTTATTGAAATAAAGTGCTCACGTTATATAATAATCTTAATAAAAAAAAACTTATCTTCGTGGTTCTTCTTCTTTTGAGAATCCATCAAAATATTTGTAATCATCTGAAACAATTATAAAAACAAAAATAGGTATATAGATTCACAGGTTTCAAGATATACTGAAATTGATTAGATTTAGTCTCTTAACACTAGAAATTTGATGAAATAGATTGATTCACTAACTAACATGTTTAAACTAAACGAAACAAAATATGATTCAGTTGCAAGCAATTAAATATGAAAAGGGTAATATTTAATCAAATTTCTATGGGTTATTAACAATCTTTGAATAATATCTATTATGAAACACAAAAAAATCAATGGTAGAAACTCAATCGACCGATTCTAAAAACGTAGAAACAAAAATCAAAAAAAAGAAAAGCTTACCTCTTTTTAGATCTAATAATTTGCGAATCACGATGTATAATCGAAGACGAAGGAAGTCGATTTAGTATGGATTTCGATTCAGATTCGTAAATTGACCGACAAAGATGATTTTCGTTGATTGGAATTTTTTTTCCGTTTCAGACAAAGACTCAAGAACAAAAACATTATCTGTCCAGATAATAAAAAACATAATTGAGATACTGTTTACGACAAAGTTTTGGATTGATTACGGCCCATTACAAATATTATTGGTTCTGTGGCCCAAGGAATAAAACTCAATATTGACCATGTTAGTGACAAATAATGAATTCATTTTAAACATTTGTCAATTATAGTATAGATTTAATAAATTTACCTTACTAGACCAAGTACTAAACACACTAATTATGTTACAAAAACAATAAAATAAACACAGTAATGTGTTGTATTACCCATCTATATTTTAATACAAAAATATACCGAAATACATATTTCTCGAGCGATTTGATTTGTTCCCAATACTAATATATTCAATCCTGTAATTTGTTACATAAATCTATTTTAAATAGTCATACAAAATTCAAATTGATACACACATTCAAAACCTAATTGACATAAGTTTTATACTCAAAAACATATGTTACCAAAAACCCCGCACGTACGTGCGGGTCCGGATCTAGTTTAGTGTAAAAACCAATCTACCCTCGCCGAATTGCTTCTGTGTGAGAAATTCGATCATTCTACTAAAGAGTGGAAAAAAATTGAAGTTGGTAAATCATTCTAAAACGAGGAAAAAGTATTGGACTTTTTTTTTTTTGTCATGAGTTCACATAGGTGATACTTATAAAGTATCATTAATAAATTTTTAGTATTATTTATAATGTTTGTTTATTATTTGAGATTTTTTATGATACTCGTACTAAATATATTTCTATTGGTGAAACCGGTTTAAGTATTATAAAAAAAAAAATTATTTGCAAAATCAAAAATAAATATAAAACATAAGATTACAAAAGGTAATATTACAATAAAAAAACGTAGAATATACTTAAGCAAAAAAAACATAAAATTCAAAAAAATATATAAAAAATCATGATGATAAAAATAATCGGGAAAAATCGAGAAGACGAGAATGTTTTTTTTTTTTTAGGGAAAAACGCGTTTACCAGCACGAATCAGGAGCCGCCACGTCACTCGATACTGGGTATCAGAAGTATCACTGTACTGATACTAATAAGGTCAGTATCATACCCAAATGTATTGTCTAATCTATTAAAAAATTATTTATATACTCTTGATACTCTAAATATATCAGCTATGTATATGGTCTTAGTAGAGATAAAAGTCATTATATTTGTGGTAGGCGAAATTAATATTGGTTTATAGTTTTGTTGGGTTATCTTTTTCGTTGAGTCATCTCTTTTGGGAAATGAAGATAAGAGTATCAGTCTTTTTGAAATTGTTTATAATCCGAAGAATTGACATGTGCAACCACTTTATAATATATTTACGTACTTAACATTTGGAGCTTTTGAAGTTTATTTTCTTGCTTAAATTTTGACATTCTATGTACGGACTTCAAGTTTTATTCCGAAAAAAATATTTATGATGCGCCACACTCCATGAAACTTGTATTCAGAGTTACAAGAAATATTTTTTAGGTGAGAAACCTTCAAAAATCATCAAAGTTGTTCGACTTTTATAGTTTTTTTTCTCAAAAAAATATTAACGACTAACAAATGACATGTTCTGATGAATATAAAAGGCTATGACTATTGGGCCGAAAATGGGCCGAACACCTTAAATGTAAAAAACTGTTGAGCAAAAAGCTTCTCTTCCTTCTCTATCTTCTCAAAATCTCGACTGTCTACCGGAAAACATACATGGCTGCCGATTTCTGGAATTCGTCTCACTAGTAAAAACATTCTTTTCACCTTTACCCATCAAAATTCACTTCTTCTTCTTCTTCTACGCAACTTTCAGTTTCAATTTCTGGATTATTTTGTTTGGATGTAGTTCATGATCTTGATAAAGAACGTGGAATCTCAATTGATGAATTCAAGCTCATCAAGTTCCACATGTCTAATCGTACGAAAGCCTTTTCTTCTCAATTCTTCGAATATTTTCTGTTTAATTGAGCAAATTTTTTTGACTCTTTAGCAACTGGTTTGAAATTATCAGTGATTGATCAAAGAAAGTGTTTGAGTTTACTGGTGTTTCAGCACATTAAAGTGAGGCAAAGGTTGTTTTTCCTTGCAATTTTTGCTAAATTCAGATATTGCATTTACTTTTCTTCCATTACTCTTTGTTGGTTCTGTGGAACTTATTAGCTCTATATCTGTTGTAACCTGGAATTTAATATGAATAGTTCCCTTGTCTTTATACTAAAAATCAGGTATGCAATGTGATTTCTCTGCATTGTTTGAGTTTCTGTCTTTCTGATGAGATTGGATGCTTCACTCTGATTAGATGTTGATGAAAAGTTCAGATATGAGATTAAAGATATTCTGGAAATGGAGATGAAGATCTTGGAAGCATTGAACTTCTATCTTGTTGTATTCCACCCATACCGATCTCTTCCTGAGTAAGTCGTTTGCTTAGGATCTTACGTATCGTCATCAAAATCTTTTTGCGACTATACTATGCATTTTGTTTTGCTTACTCTTCTTGATTTACTTACAGGTTCTCTCAGGATTCTGAAATTTATGACACAAGTATGACCCATTTAACTTGGTAAGTTTCCAAAACTTTGTCCTTTATTAGTCTTGGGGATGAAGTGTTCTTGTAATCAAGAAGTTAATTGGATAACAGTTTACCAGCACCTGACAAATCTCAAATTGGAAGAGAGCTAAACAGGTTTTGATTTGCAAGCGTAAAGTAAATGTTCTCTTGATGCGTAAGTTTTGTGTGGAAACTATAGGGGTCTTGTTAACGACACATACAGAATGGACCTCATCCTTATACATCCGCCGTTTCTCATCACACTCGCTTGCATTTACATTGCTTCTGTACACAAAGAGAAAGACATAAGGACTTGGTTTGAAGAGCTTTTTCTCGACATGAACATTGTATAAGTCTTATGCATTGTTGTCGTCCTTTTAATTCTCTCCGAACATATTGTAAGTCTTATGCAATGATTCATCAGTATATTGTGAACATATTGGCAGGTGAAGAATATTGCAATGGAGATATTGGATTTCTATGAAAACCATAGACTGTTCACGGAGGAGAGAGTTCACGCCGCCTTCAACAAACTTGCTACAAACCCGTAAAGTTTCGACCAAGGAATCTTAAAGTTTCGACCAAGCTTGTCTGTGTTTTTGTTCCCCTGAGAAAATATAATGCTTTGCCAGAAGTTTTGGAAATGAGATTATTCCTGTTTATTGTACATCAGTTTTGCTCGTCTTCAACCATGTCTTGCCTATGCTTATACACAGTACAAAGAGGTGCAAAACAACAAAACTTAAGTCTAAATGTTCAATAAAATCAGACAACATTTCATGGTGTAAATAGAGCTTACAAAAGCTAACTGTGTTAAATCACAAACGATAAAACAAAACAACAATTCTTATTAACATAAAATATCCAGTTTTTACTTTTTTACAGTAAAACCAAGGTTCGTTTCTCCATTTTGTGAAAGAGTTCTCAAGCATGTTCCATACATCCACATCGAAAACAAACATCAATAAAAGCATTATTTTCTATAATATAGTTCTGAGCCACAAAATAACGATGCTCCAAGACTGGCAACGTAATCCGTAGTACTTCAGAATCTGTATTCTTCATAAGCAATTCCAAAGATTCTTCGCGAAAACCTGTTAATCAGCAGATGAATCTTTCAAAGCTAGCTTCTTTTTCTTTCCTGCATCTATTTCAGAGATGATAGTGGAGACTATCCACATGACTTTCACACGAATCCAAATAGGATGCAAAACCAACAAATGAACAAAGTGAACATTATACCATTTTTATTTTTACCTGCTACTGGTTATTCTCCTTATTCATCGTCACAGTTGATAAATTGAACATCGGGAATGTGTACCTGGTACCAATTTCTCCTTCCACTCCCTCTTCATTCTTTTAATCTTCAGTTCCTTTAAGGATGTTATGTACTTGAGTCCATCAGGAAGTTCCTTCAACTTTTTGCAATCATCTATATTTAAAGTACAAAGACATGGCATCGACCCTTCTTCCACTATCCACTCTTCCAACTCTGATTCTTCATTTATTTCTAGAGCACGTAATTGAGGAAATCCACCTTTTGAGCACAACATTTTCCTCCCAACGAAAGCGTCAGATCCTAATTTAACCGACTTCAAATGAAGCAACTTTTCTAGAATTGGCATTGGATCCTCCTCCATGCGGCAATCAAATAGAGATATGTGTTCAAGGTGGGGAGGGAATTGATGTTGATCAGGAATCTTTGACATACGTCCTCTCAATCCTAACTCTTTTAGATGAATAAAATCCAGATCCAACTCTCCCACATAATCAACCGTATAGGTTTTGTACCGAAAATCCAAATAAAGCGTCTCGAGGTTACGCAATTTACGGAGAGATGACGATAGGGTTTCAAAAGTACACCTTTCGCTCAAAGATACAGAGAGATACCTGAGCTTGGTCATACGGAGGAGGTCTGTCACACTACTGTGTTGCGTTGAGAAATACCACAAGTGCACCAGGTTCACTAGATCACCCAATTCCAACTTGGTTTTATCATGCATCTTATGAGGTAGGACAAGGTTCCTCAACTCTAGCATCTCTTTCAAAACATTTGGCACATGAACTGGTTCCTCGGCAGCAACACTTAAGTCTAAATAGAGGAGAAGCTTTAAATTCCGCATAGAAGAAGGTAGCTGAGATACCCCAGCATCGTCTAAGCTCAAGAATCTCAAGTGGATAAGCCCTCCAATACTAGAAGGTAACTTCCCTCCTTTAAACTTCACCTCAGTAAGATCCAACACCCTGAGCAATGGTAAATTTTGGAAGACTGAAGCTGACTGTATCCAAAAGTCTTCCTCGAGTCCCAAAACTATAAGAGATCTGACTTTTTTATTGTTTTTGTGTCCCAGTATATGAAAGGCTTTACCACTACGTATGGTGAGTCTGCGAGATCTACTAGGAGATTGAGCATTGATGGTAGAGGTGGAAGTAGGGACTTTGATAATTTGTAGGAAGTTCTCTTCTTTGGCTTTAGATAAACATACTTCTCTCATCATGTCAATATTCTAATCTCCATCTCAATTTGTCTTTTTCAGCAGTAACCAAATTTCTCCTCACTAGCTCTTCTAGGTAGTCTTCTCCACTATCTCTGATGGTTGATCCATAACAAATTCCTTCTGCAGCCCAGTAATTGAACAAATTCCACATATATATCTTGGAATCTTCCCGGTAATGGGCTAGATAAAGGAAGCAATGCTTTAAATGCGTTGGCAAATCTTCATAACTCAGAGACAATATTCGGTTAACCGAATTGAGACTGTTGTCATTTAAGCAAGATTTTCCTACGATTTGATCTCCGATATTGTCAGAAACTCTTTTCCACTCATGAACTGTATGTTTATTAACTAACAAGCCTCCCAACACTTTAACAGCTAATGGTAGTCCTCCACAATGTTTGACCATTTCCTTTCCCATGGCTTCCATTTCTTCACCAAACCTTATTTCTGCACAATATCACAAGCTAATACATTTCAAGATGTGAGCTGCTAAATAAAATTTATTAGATTCATGGTCTTAATTTTATATTTGAACTACATTAATTAGGACCCGTGTAGTCACGGGTTAATCATTACATGTTTTTTTTCTTCAAATTTAGTTGATTTTATAATGTTAAATTTTAATCGAACCAACCATGAATTAAGCATAAAGAGTAGATATTCGATATTTCTAATTCTAAGAAACCTATAAAAATCGAAAAAAAAAATAAAATTTAAGATTAGTAATTACTATTTTTAGGATTAGTAGTTAATTTTTTTAATTATTATCCAATTTAATTAATGTTTAATAATTATATTGTTATTTTAAACCTCGACACTCATTGTTTATCCCTTATATATTAATGGAGAAGCATTTTTCAAAAATAACCTTATTTTTATGTGTGATTAACAAAAATGTCATGCTAATGTGTCGTTCTTACTGAGCTTCTCAATCCACTTAATTAAAAATCCAACATTTATTAAGATATTTACTGATCCAATTAATTAAAACAAAAATACAATTAAAATATGCAATTAAGATATACAAATCTATACAAAATGGATTACTTAATGATCCAATGATTGTGGCCTCGTGGAATTTCCATATCTCGGAAATTGGTTATCTTGGAGGTGTTGGCGGGATAAAAAAACCGATATGGTGTCGATTGGATAGGGCCCTAGCTAATGAAGATTGGCATGATTTATTGTGTAATTCTTTCATTGAGTATCTACCAATGGTAGCTTCGGATCATTCACCAGTAATAGCTACGATTGCGGATAAGATACCTCACGGAAAACGAAGTTTTAGGTTTGATAAGAGATGGATTGGAAAAGAAAGGCTACTAGGGGCAACATCAAATGGTTGGAATTTAGACCCCGATTTACGAGATGGACAATTTGTTGAAAAATTGACTAATTGTAGGGAGCTATTTCACAATGGCGGAAAGAGTTATCTCCTTATGGAAGGAAAACAATAGAAGATCTGAAATATGAATTAGAGGTAGCACAGAGAGATGATACGAGGACACGAGAGGAGATTACGGAGTTAACAATGCGGTTAAAAAAAGCTTACCGAAATGAAGAACAGTATTGGTATCAAAAGAGTAGGACTCTATGGATGAATTTAGGGGACAATAATTCAAAATTCTTTCATACTCTCACAAAACAGAGACGTGCAAGGAATCGAATCAACGGGCTACATGATGAAAATGGGACATGGTTTGCAGAGGATAAAGATATCCAGAATATTACGGTCTCTTATTTTGAGAATTTGTTCACAACAACTAATCCTCATGCTTTTGAGGAGTCATTAGCAGAGGTTGATGATAACGGATCAGATAAATGACTTCTTAACGGCACATGCGACTGAATGTGAGGTGCGAGCGGCCTTATTTATGATACACCCGGAGAAGGCACTAGGGCCAGATGGCATGACAGCCTTGTTTTTCCAGAAAGCTTGGGTTACCATTAAAACGGATTTTTTTATCATGGTTAATTCATTTTTACAAGATGGAGTTTTGGATAAGCGGTTAAACACGACTAATATTTGTCTTATTCCAAAAACAGAGCGACCGACTCGGATGACGGAATTACGACCTAAGAGTCTTTGTAATGTTGGATATAAAGTAATTTCAAAGATACTATGTCAACGATTGAAGAAGGTTCTACCAAATCTTATTTTGGAAACCCAATCTACTTTTGTAGAAGGGCGACTGATCTCAGACAATATTCTTATATCGCAAGAGATGTTCCATGGGTTAAGAATTAATCCGTCATATAAAGAGAAGTATATGGCTATTAAAACGATATGAGTAAGGCATATGACAGGGTCGAATGGAAGTTTATTGAAGAATTATTAAGAAAGTTGGGTTTCTGCGAAAAATGGATTCTGTGGATGATGTGGTGTATCACAACAGTCCAATATAGGGTTCTACTTAATGGTCAACCTAGAGGTCTAATAATTCCAGAAAGAGGATTAAGACAAGGAGATCCTTTATCTCCCTACTTATTTATCCTTTGTACAGAGGTACTTATTGCGAATATTCGGAAAGCGGAACACGAAAAGTTGATTACCGGTATAAAAGTATCAACAGCTAGTCCTTCGGTATCTCATCTTTTATTTGCTGATGATAGTTTATTCTTTTGCAAAGCCAATATAGATCAATGCGGGGTAATTTTGAGGATTCTAAAGCAATATGAAGCAGTTTCGGGGCAACAAATTAATTTTTCAAAATCATCAATTCAATTTGGCCATAAGGTGGATGATTCTATAAAAGCGGAGATAAAAGCGGTTTTGAATATTAATAACCTTGGTGGTATGGGCACTTACCTTAGTTTACCGAAAAGTCTAGGTCGCTCGAAGACAAAGATATTCTCCTTTGTTAGAGAGAGATTACAAACTAGAATAAATGGATGGTCGACAAAAATCTTATCGAAAGGCGGAAAAGAAGTGATGATCAAATCGGTAGCTGCGGCATTATCAACTTATGTTATGTCTTGCTTCAGATTACCAAAAACCATCACTTCTAAACTTACAAGTGTGTTCGCTAAATTCTGGTGGAGTTCAAATGGTGAATCGAGGGGAATGCACTGGATGGCTTGGAATAAGCTCTGTAGTAGTAAATCCGAGGGTGGATTGGGATTTCGGAGTGTAGATGATTTTAATTCGGCTTTATTAGCAAAACAATTATGGCGTTTGATTACGGATCCCGATTCACTGTTTACAAAGGTTTTCAAAGGAAGGTATTTTCGGAAATCCAATCCTCTGGATACAATAAAATCATACTCTCCTTCCTATGGTTGGAGAAGTACCATGTCAGCTAGATCTCTGGTTATTAAATGACTTATTAAAAGAGTCGGTTTTGGGGCGTCCATCTCAGTTTGGGAGGACCCGTGGATTCCAACTCAATTCCCGAGATCAGTAAAAAGTAATGGTTCAATTATTGACCCATCTTTGAAAGTTAAAAATCTTATCGACAGTCGGTAAAATTTTTGGAACATTGATCTCTTGCAAGAGCTCTTTGATCCGGAAGATGTCGCGCTGATTAGTGCCCTGCCTTTGGGTGCGCCACCTATGGAGGATACCCTCGGTTGGCATTTCACTAAATCCAGAAAATAAACAGTTAAGTCTGGTTATCATACGGCGCGGCTAGAGAATTTGGAAGGAATTTTATCCTTTTTTAGCCTGGATTTTAAATCTCTAAAAGCATATACTTGGAAGGTGCAGTGTTCGCCTAAGTTACGTCATTTTCTGTGGCAAATTTTATCGGGTTGTGTACCGGTTACAGAAAATCTGAGGAGAAGAGGAATAAATTGTGACATATGATGTGGCAGATGCGGTGCGATAGAAGAATCAAATAACCATACATTTTTTGAATGAGACCCAGCGAGACAAATTTGGGCACTTTCTCAGATTCCTATGGTTCCGGGAATTTTCCCTACGGCCTCAATTTACGCGAATTTAAAACACCTTTTTTGGAGAATTCCTTCAGAGGTTGACTCTTCTCCATATCCATGAATAATTTGGTATATTTGGAAAGGTAAAAATGAAAAGATCTTTGAAAATATGGATAAAGACCCATTAGAGGTTTTACGTTTAGCGGAAAAAGAGGCCCATTCGTGGCAGTTAGCTCAATAGAGCTTCTTAATGAAAATCATGGTTCTTTAAACTGCGAATCTCGAGTGAGAGTGAGAGAAATTTCTCTTGATACTCTCTACTCCGGATATCGTTGTTTCGTGGATGGATCATGGAAAGAAACTGACAAAATTTTCAGGAACATGGTGGTTCTGTACATCATCAAATGGAGAGACGCCAACTATGGGAGCTGCCAACATTCGACAATGTTTTTCTCCACTACATACAGAAGTGTAAGCTCTTCTCTGGGCGATGAAGTGTATGATTGGAGCCGACAACCAAGAAGTAGCTTTTTATACAGATTGTTCAGACTTGGTGAAGATGGTGTCTTCCCCAAACGAATGGCAGGCCTTCTCAGTGTATTTAGAAGATCTTAAGAGAGACAAGAAAGAATTTTCAAGTTTCTCTTTATCTTTAATCCCTCGAAGTGCAAATGCAAAAGCGGATAATTTGGCGTGAAAAGTTCGCACCGAACCGTATCACATCACATATGTAAACAACATTCCTCAGAAATGGCTCTTATGAATTTTTAATTAAAAACTGTTGATAAAAAAAGAAAGAGTACTTAATATTTTGTATATTGATTAATATACCAAGATATATATCATAAGTTATGATAAACATAAACATTAATACATAAATGATAATTTCACTAATCTTGATAATTATTAATACACCACCGTTTATTAAATAATATAAAAATCGAACATCTTCAATATCATCAATACATTAAAATTGGTTAATAATCGTTTTGTCCCGCACTATATTGTTATCTAGTTGGTTAATATTCATGCTAAATAAATTAATTTTGACACATGTGAAAATCTAGATGACCACTAACACTTTTTTGATACATGTCAAATTACGTAAATACGTTTTTAGTTTTCTAATTCGTTAAGGAAAAAAAAAGTTGAAATTTGTTTGAAAAATTAACAATATGTATATATATAGTTCATTTTACTTTTTGGTTAAGGAAAATAAAAGTGTAAGGAATAATTTAAATATACACATGTAAATTAGTATGTGTAAATATGTTTTTCTTAAAATTTGTTTATCTTATTTAGTTAAGGAAAATAAAGTTAGTGAAATTAAACATTATATAATTTATATAATAAGATATGTACCAGTTTCATCTCTCCTAGAGAATACTATTCTTTTTTTTTTTTTTTTTTTTTGTCATCTGTAATTAAATAGTACTCAAAAGAGCCATTCTTGTGGAATGTTGTTTACATAAGTGATATGAAGCGGTTCCGTACGAATTTTTCGTGCCAGATTATCCGCTTTTGCATTTGCACAACGAGAAATTAAAGATAAAGAGAAGGT